ACCAACTGAGACAGACATATAGAAAAGCGGATAGTGAGCATCTAAGACTTTCAGTCTTAGATGCTTCTTATTGCTAGATTCACCGCTCTTAACAGAAGCTGATGAACCTAGGAATTGACAACTGTTAGATGTATGCGATGGCATAAATTTTCTCAACATATTCGATCTTGTTTCAATTCAAAAAAAAGGAAAATGTGGCTGCATGAACAGCGTGAAACATAAGCATACGCTTCATCACACGAAAAAACAATCAGATGAAGAGGCTTATCTAGCGCTTAATAGGTTACTAAATCAACGTTTATGATTAGCCCATCATCGACTTGAGAAGAGATAATAGGTTGGTCGGCTTCTGCACCAAGCGATCAGCAGATGGTATCAACTCTTAATCCCAAAGCATAGCTTCTCTCATCGTCGCACTCTCCAAGATGGGTTACTAGATTTGGCGAATACAGGAAGATAAGCAAAAAGAACAAAACTGAGTTTTTGAACGGATGATTTAAGTAGCGTCACCAAATATCGTTGGATGTCAGTTGTGTGGTGTGAGCTTTTTTACATAAAAATCGTAGATTTAGGCATTACCATGGCGATGTGATAAACAGCAGAAATCATGCGCGTTCTGCCCGTGCGCAAACTAGGCTCTTATAAGTGGATTTATGCATTACTTTCTCATAATCTATCAAAAAGTAGCCGTTTGAGTGCAACTCACTATTGAATATACGTTGACAATGCAAGCATGCATATTGGGTATTAAAGGTCACAATGAAGGTTTTCCGACCTTGACGTCCTGGCAATGCTAGAACACTCTGTCAGAGTGTTTCATTTACCGTATCATTTATTTGCAGCTACCTTTGTGACAGCTAATATATTAGGTTGGTCCAAAAATTCTGTCCCACCATTTTCAAAAAATCATAACTTCTTCCTAACCCGATGTTTTTGCGCTAAAACCATAATGAAAAGAGCAACTCATGCACTTTCTAATGCTGCCTTGGCTGCTACCTACCAAGCTCTGAATGCAGAGTTAAATTTGGGAAAATGAAATCATTTCAAGTTTGGAGTTTTTAAGCAAGCCCGTTAAAAATCCAAAACTGGGCCATAAAATCCAAAATAGCTAGTCACCTAGGTTTTCTGATCCCCTCTTTCTATATAAGAAAAATTCGCGCTGATGGAGCCCTTTAGAAAAATTATGATTTTCAAGAAAAAATGCCAAAAAATCAGTTTGTTAAAAAATTGATTTTTTGACATTTTTTTAAAAAAATCATAACTTTTGAAGTAACAACTCGATCAGGGCGAATTTTGCTCAGCTGGAAAAGAGGGGGTCAAAAAGTCTAGGATAACGGTTGTTTTGGATTTTATGGCATGGTTTTGGATTTTTTAACGAGCTTGCTTAAAAAGAACTCAAAGTGATTTTCTTTTCCCAACTTTATCTTTGCATTCGGAGTTTAGTAGAGAGCGACCAAGGTAGCTTTAGAAAGTGCATAAGTTGCTATTTTCACTAAGGTTTTAAACATGCAGAAACACCGCGTTAGAAGGAAGTTATGATTTTTTGAAAATGGTGGGACAGAACTTTCGGACCAACCTAATAATATTCAATTTAAGTTTTTCGAACCAGGGTTAGAAAAGCGGCACAAGTGAAATATAAAACCACTACAGAGCCGACTTGTTCTTTGCAGGATTTCTCGATTCGTTGCATACGCGATTTGTGCTTTCAAATCAACACTGTAGAGAGGACCGACAAACACGAAAGAAAAAGTATATGGGATAAAAACGAGGTGAGGGGTCCTTAGGGGAGCGCAGCAGCAGTAGGGTGTTTCATTGAAAGTTCTTTTCTGTTCGTATAGCATGGAACCCGATGAAGTGGTGTGAGGTATGGATTGATGACGTGTAGTCAAACTTTCGATCTGTTCCGGGGTACATTTGAGGGCCAATACTGCTTTTTCTTCCGGAGCTCCGGTCCGGGCTCAGTTAAAACGATATACCTTTGCTTCTGCCTTCAAAACGATATCCCACCTGCCCCGTAAGCCCTTGTGCCGAGCCCTGGACGTGACTACAGCCATGCCTCTTCCTCTAAATTTGAAAATTCTAAAAATTAGATGAAACCCGTAAAACATCGAGGAAAACACCAACAACAAACAACAAACACTGAAGTAGATTTGAAATGAGAACCTTTTCTTATAGAATTATTGCAAACGCAATAATCTGTGTTACAAAGTACAAACTTCTGTTAGTTTTGGGCATACGCAGTAACTATCGCAGCAACTACGAAAGAAATCTAGCAAGATTGCCAAACATTTATTGGAAGCCCTACTTTGAGGAAGAATAACTCACTCCGGATTTTGCTTGCAACTGTTTCCTACAAAAAATAAAAACTTCAATCTTACTGATTGCCCTCATTAAAATGACAAAAAAATGCGCTCAGTCGAAAATTACATTTCTCACTAAAAGAATAAAATTTCCAAATCTTCAATATGGAATGTATTATTAGGTTGTCCGGAAATTAATGCCCGTTTCGAACTTCAACCGCAATAAGTCATACACTTCTCATTTTTGAATAGGTTGCAAAGTACCATTCGATAGAGCAAAGCAAGCTTTACAAGATGGCAATTTTGCTATAGCAACAGCTCTGATCTACCACGAGTTTCGAGCCAAAGACTAAAAAGACTCAACTGCCCGAAAAATTGAAAAAAATCATAACTCAATTCATAAAAATCCTACAAAAATTTTAACTTGCTCACTTAAACACTATCCACATAAAACATTTACATACGCCTTTGCCGTATTTTTTCCTCTGTTAGAAATCAAGAAATCGGAAATTTTAGTGCATTTGCCAAAGTGGTGTTGTGCAGTTCCCACATAGGTAGTTGTATACTACAAACCTGTAGAAGTACAAATGTAAATTCTCAGCTCTCTACAAGCTTTTGTTCTCGAGAGATTTATATTTAACTTGGACCACATGACTAGGAAAAACTGTATTCGATATTTCTCGAGAACTAAAGCTTGTAGAGAGTTGAAAATTTACATTTGTATTTTTCCGTTTTCTTGATTCCTAACAGAAGAAAAAATACGGCAAAGGCGTAGAAAGACGTTTTATGTAGATAATGTTTACGTGAGCAAGTAAGAATTTTTGTAGGATTTTTATGAACTGAGTTACGATTTTCAATTTTTCGGGCTGCTGAGTCTTTTTTTGGCTCAAAACTCGAGGTAGATGAGAGCTGTTGCTAAAGCGAAATCGCCATCTTGTAGAGCTTGCTTTGCTCTATCGAATGGTACTTTGCAACCTATTTAGAAGTGAAAAGTGCATGACTTATTGCAGTTGAAATTTAAAACGGGCATTAATTTCCGGACAACCTAATAGGTCCAACCTTGTTAAACAAGCAAAAATTTTGTAATCGCTTTTTTATTCGAACTATAAGGATCCTGAACATTTTCACACCTAAATTTTTTCCGAAACCACATCTTGATTAGCATTATATAGTACTGTGCCTAGTAACGTACACATAATCTGAGAAATCTCGTTCTTTGCCTGAGGAAATCATGAAGAAAAGCAAAAGAAGGAATTTTACTCTTGCTTTTGTGGCATTTTTAGGTAGCGATCCATAGAGCGAATATGAGCTTACGCTTGAGCTAGAAAATAGAATTTGTAGCTGATTTAAGCATTTCTAAAACTGTTTTCCCTTTAAATCTAGCAACTTGAAAAGAAATATAAAAACGGGTGGAACTTCTGAAACAGCTTAATGTATCACTGAACGTAAATCAAACGCCATTCTCGAATCTTGAGTCTATGGAACGCAGGTCTAAGCGGTGGAGTCAAAACAGATGCAGAAACGATGACAGTGTATGATCCAAACTTGCAGTCTTCTCGCAATAGACGAACAACTTACGCTGCGTCATTTGGCCGTTGTGGTACAAAGTCACTGTGCTCATACTCAGGGCTCGGCACGAGGTGGCTAGTTGAAAATGCAAAAAACGAAGTCCCCCTTGACTTTTGCGAATTTTCACGAAGTCCCCTTTGACCCTAGACCAGGGCTCGGCACGAGGTGGCGTCCCGATATTGCAAAAAATGAAGTCCCTTTTGACTTTAATGAAATTACGACATCCGCCACGAGATATTCGAAGAAGAATACATGAAAAGGAACGAAACAAAGCAACAGCAGAAAAAAACGAAAAAGCATCATCGAACACACGCAATTATATTTATATTCTCCGGAATGGCGGCATGATGTATCCATCGTGCAGCAATACGCGCCTAGAGCAGCTTTTCCGCGGCCATTCAAAATTTTCAAGGGGCTATAACTAAGCGGGGAGAAGGGGGTTTGAGGCGGTTTAGGAACTAGTTTGTAGGGATCGGGGTGTAGATGAAAAGTATGTAAAGAAAGTGGAAAAATTATGTGAGGGAGGAAAAATTTATGACTTTTTCTTTCCTAAGCCACCTCAGGTGGCTATCCAGGTGGCTTGAAAGCCACCTAACTCCGAAAAAAGTTGAGCACGCCTTTAATTCACATAATTTTTTCATAATTTTTCATACTTAGTTCTAACTCCCCATTGCCCATCTACACACCTATTTTGGTGTCATTTCATCATCAATTCGCTGTAAACAAACCTTTTGTTTATTTGCTAGCGGCGTGCCGGCAGCGTGCCGGCCGCAGATCGAGAGACAACGTTATTCTCTTCCGCAAAAACGATATCCCCTATGCTTTTTCCCCAAAAACGATATCCAGCTTGCTTGCTAAGCCACCTGTGCCGTGCCCTGCTCATACTACAACTGGTTCAACATTTTCAAACATTGAACATCAACATTACCACTTGCATTTTTTGTAATTTCCCTTGAGAAAGACTTTCCAGAGTTAAAAACTGTAGCGAGATTGACATTCTTCACTGAATACACCAATATAAATCTCATCATTGACCATTATTTACTAAAAGTGCATTCCTTTCAAGTGAAGCACTTAGCTATAATAAGGTGGACACAAGGGCAACGAAAATTTTTATTTAAATGAATGATTTTACTTTAACTCATTATGCTCGTGGTGCACCAACCACTTCCAACCAGCATGAGCGTACCCTGTTTCGCCAATACCGTAACCGTGGTCTTGATTGGCAAATTTGTGGAGGTAATCAGCTAATTCCTTCAAAAGAGCATTGTAACCTTCATCAGTGCGAGGATCGTTCTTTGCTTCATATATATAACCAACGCGATTATCAGCGGGATCTCTTTCTTTCGTATGCGTAACGGGATTTACATATGTAAATGGGATTTCATTGCTTTCATAATCGACGCTATTGTTGACGCGATCCGTCTCCTGATGTTTTTTTCCATTGCTGTCCTCATCGTCGTACGGAATTGAATTCTCAATCTCGGAGTCTGATGCACTACCAAAAAGGGACTCAAAAACTTCGCGAATGCTTCTCGAGTGTACAGAACCAGTGAAGAGAATGACCTTGAAAAAATAGAGCTATCATAGGTTGCAAAATTCACCGGATCTGTGCGCTCAAAAATCAAAGAAAATTTTGAACAAAGCAATAAAGCGCTCAAAAATTGAAGAAAATTTTGAAGAAAGCAACAAAAGACTTCTAATGCATGACGAAGGCGCAGTGGCGATATCAGTTGAGCGGGTGCTAACGCGATGCGCGCGTATCCTCACCGTTTTAGACCCCGCACCTCATGCGCTCTACGGCTAGTAAAGCCGCGTTCGCGTCCGAAGATATTGCGCCTTTGTCATGCAGCAGCCTATACAATCGCATAATCACTAGTCATTTTAGATCGGGGACAGTATGCATCAACCTTCCACTCGGATAAGTGTTCCGTACTGGTGACAAAACCAATCAGAAGCGGGCGCCTATGCAGGTGATGCGCGAATGCGGGTGACTGACGTGCGAGGGCTCTGTCAGGAACGATCGAGTAGGTCTGCAACTCCTGCTGACTGCTAACCTACACGTAATGCATCTACTATGAATTGTGTAATAGCGCTAAATCCATCGAAAATATCAAAAAAATGGATCACTTCATTCACACTAGTAAGAAAGCGAGATTTGATTTTTTTTTTCTGCAAAAGATACTCTTGATTTGAAATTTAATTTAATCTGCTTGATTTGCAAAATATTCAGAGCTTGAACTGTGGAGATCGGGCTCTGCTGCACAATCGGAGCGCAAAGAATATCCTCGTCTGAAATAAGGCTTTCCAACAAGATTGAAAACTAGGAAATAGCGTTTCAAGGTTATTCCAAATTTGTATGTCTTATTTTAAAAGGCCAGACTGAAGTGCTTCCCTCCTCATTTGGGAGATTGATACATACCTCTCCGGAATATTACTTAAGTATGTACGTCATTAGGAAGTTATGTGTAATAAGTGTGCAACTCACAGTCAGCAGAGACGTTTTCATTTATAACTGATTCCACAAGATTTCTAAGTGCTTTAATACTCATAAAGTTTGAAAATGGATGACAATAGTTGCGCTTGCACATCATCAGGTAGAAACGAGCTATTGACTGTAAAGGGACGTTCAAGCTAAATTGCACTCCATTTAAACAATAAAGAAAATTTGGATTTTTGAACTAAATGTTTCCTGTGCAGTTATCCATTCTCTGCCATAAAAACACTGGTTATATTTAATGCTTAATGGGACAAAAATAACTTAATATAGTCGCACATAGTCTGATTAACCCATCGCTACACTACCACTGTTCAAATGGACTGGTGCTACCCAAAATATTGTTTTTCATGTCCCGATGACCCGCGCGCACCTTTGCAACAAACCCGCAATAAAACACATCATGGCTCGTTCTAGGCCCGTGCAGCATTATGCTCCTTTAATAACCAGGTTGCATAATTCCTTTCTTGCTAAACAGTTTAGCAAGGCTATAGATGTTTGTTTCCGATGGACCCGTAGAATGTGGATCGATTAAATTGCATCCTGTGCGCTTAACGCACGTGTAATGCTACAGCGGGGCGAAATCTTTGAAAATCTCATATTGGAGCTACTGTCTTAGTTTAAAAGGAGAGAGCCTACGAAGATGGACATTCATTACGCAGTCCACTCACATATCATTGGCAAAGCTTTACGAGGTACAGCAAGTGACAAGGGCAACCGGCTGCCATATACACTTCCCAGATTCGAACAAATACACTTAAGTGCATATTGTGCTTGTAGAAAAATATAAGCACTAGTCTACAAACCATACCATACCTATCATTTGAGCAGCACAGCGCTCACCTCCCCCCCCCCCCCCGTTCGCTCGCTATTTCTATGTGACAATCAAATAACAATTATGTGAATGTGTTATTGTAAATGCCTACACTTGAAGTCAAAATATGCAATGATGCAAACGCATGCTATCTCCCTTTTTGCATTCATTGTTGATATGTCCAGTGGTTATCAGAATATCATGCCTTTATTAACCAGTTTTTTTACTATCGTCGACTCGGACTGCTCAAACCCTGCGGACGACGCGCAGCGCGGCCTGTACAGAAGACCACGAACTGTACACGAGCTGTACCTACTGCACTACGTTATGTACTACTGTTCCTAATAAGGTAACACACACGTTTTTAAGAAATCTCGTCCTTTGCTCGAGGAAATCGCGAAGATAGAGCAAAAGAAAGAATTCCACGCTTGCTTCTGTGGCATTTTCATGCAAGGATTCGCAGAGCGATTATGAGCTTACGTAGAAAAATAAAGCTTGCAGCTGATTTGAGCTTGAAACTAGTTTCTATCCCTTGAGTTCAGCAACTTGAAAAAGGTATAAAACGGGTGAAACTTCTAAATCAGCTCAATATATCGCTGAACGTAATTTAAATGCCATTCTCGAATCTTAAATCGTATCTGTGGAAAGCCAGTCTGAGCCGTGGAGTCACAAACAAAAGCAGAAACGGCTGTGTATGGTTCGAACTTGCTAGTCTTTTCCCAATACGAACAACTTATGCTGTGTCCATTTGGCCGGCACAAAGTCACGTGCTCATACAACAACTGCTCAGATAATCGCCGGGGGCAGGCGGTCCGCAAACTCGCGCTTTTCTGCAGGCGGTCAGCAGAATTTTGGGGCGTGACCAAACTTTGAGCGGGCGGCACTTCCTTTATGGTCGCATATTCTGCCAGCAGGCAGCAATACAGCATTTTTTGCAAGCGCTCGGCAATTAATTTCTTTTAACGAGCGCTGGTCAAACTTTCAGCAAGCGCTCGGACTCTTTTTACGCATTTTCGGGCGTACGTCGAGCACAGGTAAGACTCTGTGTGGGAGAGGTGTCACCGTTGGTTTAGTTACTCAAGTTTGAGGTACTTTCTCTCAGCGGAAAGTACCTGGGGGCTGCGCGGTCCTCCACCAAGGACCGTGCGGCCCCCGAAAATTTTGCATATTCTCGCGGAAAGTCTGCGAGAATGCGGCCACTGCACCGCAACTATTCTATAAGGAAACCGCGATTGTTCTCCAAGCATTCGTCTGAAATTTCGCTAAAATTATTCCAAATTTCTACAAGCGGACTGCAAGAAATCAGCAAACTATTTTTCCGGTGCGCGCTTGCTCAAAATTCGCATGGCCGCCTGCCCTCGGCGATTATCTGAGTGGTTTAACATTTTCAAACATAAACTTAAATTTGACATTTTTATTTTTCTGTGATTATGTTTGTTGCAGCGAGATTAGCATATATCATGAATTCAACAACATAAGTCTCACCTTGACTATTATTACTGAAAGTGCTTTCCTTGAAGTGAGAGTGAAGCTATAATAAATACAATAATAGCTATAAATAATGAGTCGGACACATAGGCAAAAAAATTTTTATTAGATAAATGGTTTCACTTTAACTCATTATGCCGTCTGTGGTGCACCAACCACTCCCAGAGAACATAGGCGTAGCTTGGTGAGGCATGACCGTAACCGTGGTCTTGAGTTTCAAATTTCTTGAGGTAATCACTTAATTCCTTCAAAAAAGCCTTGTAACCTTCATCAGTGCGAGGATCGTTCTTTGCTTTATATGTATAACCAACGCGATTATCAGCGGGATCTCTTTCTTTCTTCTGCGTATGGGGATTTACATATGTAAGCGGGATTTCGTTGTCTTCATAATCGACGCTGTTGTTGACGTGATTCATCTCGTTATAATTGTTCCCATGGCTGACCTCGTCGTCGTACGAAATTAAATTCTCATCCTTCTCATGGTTGTCCTCGTCGTTGTACGAAAGTAAATCCTCATCTTTCCCATGGCTGTCCTCGTCGTCGTACGGAATAAAATTCTCATCATTCCCATGGCTGTCGCCATCGTGGTACGAAATTGAATTCTCATCCTCGGTGTTTGTTCCTGCACCAAAAAAGTGCTCAAAAACCTCGCGAACGCTTCTTGAACGGACAGAGCCAGTGAAGAGAATGACCTTGAAAGAAGGCTTTCATATTTTCAAAATTCATAGAGCTGTGCGCTTAAAAACTGAAAAATTATGAAAGCCATGGAACATTTGCAATGTCATAAATTACTAACCGTGAATAAATCGAGAGTATGTATCAATCTCGTTTGCGTAAGTCTCCCGTACAAGTCGTAATCCACTCAGACGGCCCTCCCATCCGCGCGATGCGCGAATGTGGGTGCCGATGTACGGGAGCCCTACCAAGCAAGATCGGTTTGCGATGTCTGCTGAACTGTCCGATCTCTTATGACTATGAGTCATTTGGTATATTTTTAATTAGGCGCTCGGAAATGTTAGCAAATTGAACAGTTCATTAGCTAGCCAATGAGTAAGACTCGACAATTGATTTGCCGCAAGAAATTTTTATGAAATTTGATTTGATTTATTTTGATTGCAAAAAATTCAGAACCCAAACTGAAGAGACCAAGCTCCTGCCCGTCCGGGTTGAAACCAGGACGCGTAATTCCCTTCAGAATAAGGCCTTTCAGCTAAGAATGAACTCGGATATAGCGCTTTAAAATTAATCCAAATTTGTACGTCTTTTTTCAAACGACCAGACTAAAGTGCATTCCCTCGTATTTGCGAAATTGATACATATCTCTTTACTATTTGAATATGTACGTGACTAGGAAGTAATTTTCAATAGGCAACTCACAATCAGCAGAGACGTTTTCATTTATAGTTGATTTCACAAGGTTTCTAATTGCTTTAATACTCATGAAGTACTTGTAAAAAGGGATACAATAATTGCGCTTGCGAATATACATCACGTAGAAACGAGCTAATGATTGCAAAGGGACGTTCAAGCTAAGTATGTAAAGTACATTTCATCCAAAACAATAGAGAAAATCTGGATTTTTGAGCTAAATGTCTCCTGTGCAGTTATCATTTCTGTGCCATAAAATTACTGGTTTTATAATACGATTATACTAATGAAATGTTTGCAGCACGTAACTAACCTATCGCTACACCACCACTGTTCAAATTGCTGAGCACACCTAGAATTTGGTTGTCATGTCCCGATGACCTGCGGGACATTTGCTACAAACCTGCAACAAGTCAACGCATCGCGGCTCGTTCTACGCCCGTGCAGCATTATGCTTCCTTACTAACCAAGCTCCCAATTTTCTCTTTTGTTAAAGGCTCTTTGAGCAAAGGTATAGTTTTTCTCCGGTGGACACATAGAAAGTGGATCGATTAACTTCCGTACTGCGAGCTTAAAGCATGTGTAATGCGATAGCGGGCAAAACCATTGAAAGTCTCATCTTGGAGCTACTATCATAGTTTAGAAGTATAGAGGAACACTGAAGATGGACATTCATTACTTAATCCACTCACATACATTGGCAAAGCTGGACGAAGTGCAGCAAGTGATGCGGGCAATCGGCTGTCATATGCACTTCCCAGATTCGAACAAATACCCTTACGTGCTTATTGTGCTTGCAGAAAAACATACGCACTAGTCTACAGACCATACCATACCTATCATTTGAGCAGCACAACGCTTACCCCCTCCCCCTTTCGCATTCATTGTTGATATGTCCAGCGTCTTATCAAAATATCAAGCCTTATTAGTCAGTTATGTTACTATCGTCGATTCGTTGACCGCACAGAATGCTCAAAACTTGCGGACGACGCGCGGCGCGGCTATCGCGAGAGCACGACCTGTATCAAAGACCATGACTTGTACATGACCTGTACCTACAGCACTACATTATGTAGTACTGTTCCTAATAAGCTAACACATATGTTTTTGGGAAATCTCGTCCTTTGCTCGCGGAAATCATGAAGATAGAGCAAAAGAAAGAATTTTACGCTTGCTTTTGTGGCATTTTTAGGTAGGGATCCGCAGAGCGAATATGAGCTTACATAGAAAAATAGAACTTACAGCTATTTAAGCATTTTTAAAACTAGTTTTTCCCTTGAGTTCAGCAACTCAAAAAAAGACATAAAGACGGTTAAAACTTCTAAAACAGCTCAGTATTTCGTTAAACGTAAAATGCCATTTTCAAATCTTAAATCGTATCTGCGGAGTGCCAGACTAAGCCGTGGAGTCACAAACAAAAGCAGAAACGATGGCTGTATAAGGTTCATACTTGCTAATCTTTTCGCAATAAAACTTCCGCTGCGTCATTTGACCGTTGTTGTAAAAAGTCATTGTGCTCATACAACAATTGGTTTAACATTTTCAAAAATCAAACATTAACATTAACATTTTCATTTTTTGTAATTTCGTTTGAAGACTTTCCAGAGACAAGGATCGCAGCGAGATTAGCATTCATCACTGAATTCACCAATATAAACCTCACCATTGGCCATTTTTACTGAAAGTGCTTCTGTAAGTGAAGCACTTATATAATAAGTCGAACACAAAGGCAAGAAAATTTTTATTTAAATAAATGATATCACTTTAACTCATTATGCCGGTTGTGGTGCACCAACCACTTCCAGAGTAAATAAGCGTACCCTGCTGTGGCACGACCGTAACCGTGGTCTTGATTCTCAAATTTCTTGAGGTAATCAGTTAATTCATTCAATAGCGCCTTGTAACCTTGATCAGTGCGAGGATCGCTCTTTGCTATATATATGTAACCAACGCGATTATCAGCGGGATCTCTTTCCTTCTCATGCGTAAGGGGATTCACATATGTAAGTGGAATTTCGTTGTCTTCATGATCGATATTGTTGTTGAATTGATCCGTCTCCTCAAGCTTGTTCCAATTGTCCTCATCATTATACGGAATTGAATTGTCATCCTCGGGGTTTGATTCACCACCAAAAAAAGACTCAAAAACATCGCGAACGCTTCTTGAATGAACAGAACCAGTGAAGAGAATGACCTTAAAAAAATAGGGCTTTCATAGGTTTCGAAAGTCACAGGAGCTGTGCGCTAAAGAAATAAAATATTCTCAATGAAAGCAGTGGAATATTTGCAATGGCATGAATAACTTACTTGTAGTATATTGATCGAGAGGGTATGTATTAATTTCGGGTAAGTGTTGCCACACAAAAATCGACTCAGACGGCTCGCGCATGCGCGATGCGCTAATGTGGGTGCCTGGCCTGCAGGAGCCCAACCAGGAAGCAGCGGTTTGCAATGTCTGCTGAACTGCCCGCTCTCTTGTAACTACGAGTCATTTGAAATATCTTTGATTAGGCGCTCGAAAATCTTAGAAAATCGAACAGCTTATTCGTATGAGATTCGACAATTGCTTTGCCGCAAGAAATTTTTATGTGATTCGATTTATTTTGATTGCAAAATTTTAAAACCCAAACTGAAGAGATCAAGCTCTCCTGCACGTTCAGGTTAAGAGCAGGACGAGGAACTCGCTTCAAAATAAGGCCTTTCAGCTAAGATTGAAAACTCGGAAGTTTGAGATTGAAAAAAGAAAAAAAAGATTGCAAACTTCAGAATTATTCCAAATTTGTATGTCTTTTTTTAAAAGACCAGACTAAAGTGCATTCCCTCGTTATTCGGGAGATTGATACATATCTCTTCGGGTTACTATTTGAATATGTACGTGACTAGGAAGCAATATTCAATAGGCAACTCACAGTCAGCAGAGACGTTTTCATTTATAGCTGATTCCACAAGATTTCTAAGTGCTTTAGTACTCATAAAGTACTTGGAAAACGGGATACAATAGTTGCGCTTGCAAATATACATCAAGCAGAAACGAGCTAATGACGAAAAGAGGCGCTCAAGCTAAAGTACGTTTTATTTTAAACTACAGAGAAAATTTGGATTTTTGAGTTACAAGGGAATGGTCAGAAGTCGAAGTGGCCAATCCATACAAGCTGCATACCATTGCATTAGATGCAGCACTTTTGTGGACTAAATTATAAGCCGTTGAAGACCATTATTTTGCTAAGAAATTGTGCGTGTAAAGGGCAAACTTGCCCGTACATAGCCATTCTCGCTCAGTGTTGACCAAAACATGCAACTAGGTCACTTCGTAGGCCCGTACCCAGAGACGAGCTGAAAAAGCATTAATGTGCCCAATTTCGCAATTTTTGTATACGGTTTTTTCGCAGTAAAGCTGCTCACAACTTCGTCTATAAAGGCGCTCTACAGATAAGGAAGACAGACTTGAAATCAGCACTGTATCTACACTGTAAATCAGCACTGTACTGCTTACCATCGAATGGTAAGCAGCTTGTATGGGTTGGCACTTCGACTTCTGCCATTCCCTTGTTAGATGTTTCCTGTGCAGTTATCTATTCTGTGCCATAAAAGCATTGTTTTACTTCATTAATTAAAATAACTTGACATATTTAAACTCAGGTGACTAACCCACTGCTACACCATCACTGTTCGAATGTCATGTCCCGAAAAATTAGCGCGGACATTTGCTACAAACATGCAACAATTTAACATATCACGACTCGTTCTATGCCCCGTGCAGCATTATGCTTCCTTAATAAGCAGGTTGCACGATTCTCTTTTTGCTAAACGGCTCTTTGAACAAGGCTATAGAAGTTTGTCTTCGATGGACACGTGACGTATCAAACAACAATTATTAGAAAATGTGCTATTGTCAAAAACTGCGGTGATGCAAACGGATGCTGACTCCTCTTTCGCATTCATTGTTGATATGTCCAGCTCTTTTCAAAACATCTAGGCTTGTTAATCAGTTATATTACTACCCTATTTTCAGGTATATGAGCCGCACCCTTTTTGCTCTAAACGCGAGCAGACCAGGCGTGCCGCTACGCATTATACTTGGGTAATTCGAAAATTTTTCATCGAATGAATTAATATCGAATAAATTCGAAAATAAAAAATCTCGAATAAAGGAATATCGAATACATTCGAGGTTCAAAAATTCTCGAATGAATGAATTGCGAATAAATTCGGAAATTCAAAAATATCGAATGAATGAATATCGATTATATTCGAACATTGGGAGCCGAATTTCGAATAAATATTCGAATGATTTATCGAATAACTAGAGCAACCAGTTCTCAATGCTGACATATCTGGCTGAAGCCGATCCATTCGTAACCAGCACCCTCGTATCCCCTATACCAACTCTTAGCTCAAAATTTTTCGAAAATCGCTGAAATCGATAAAATAGGTTCCGGTTGTAATCAGCATCTTCGTTTACCCCCCCCCCCCCTGTACCAACTCCCAACCTCGTAGCTCAAGATTCAAAAATCGACAAAATCGATAAATTTAATTTTTATCCATAATCAGCACCCTCAACTACCCCCCTTGCACCGACTCCCAGTCCCGCAGCTAAGCCTTCTCCAAAAATCGATAACTTCGATAAAGTCAATTTTTATCCATAATCAGCATCCTCACTAACCCCCTTGTACCAACTCCCAGCCCCGCAACAACGGTGGCCACATATAACAACGGTGTACTTAAATGCCACAAATGCTACGATACATTGCCTGGTCATCTGAAACTTTCATCTTGTGTGGCATAAGCTAACCGTGGACGAAGGCATGTGGTTTATCCCGCGAAACGAGCACGATTGCCCCTAGCCCTGGGCATACTGCAGGCATTTCAGTGGCGACGTGGTTTGGCAATTGTTGTGTTAATGTCTGATCAGTTGTTTTCTCGTATGATCTGCCCTCGCTGAGTCGCCTGCGACCTCAATGCGCGGGGAAGGAGCGCTATAAAAGGCGCTCGCTGTTAGCCATTGTCAGTTCGTCTGTTCACTCATCTGACTCTTATCTTTAACTGTTCTATTATTTTCTAATAAATATTCTTTGTTCCTCGTGTGCTACCTCAGGACGAAGAGTCGACGTGTCCGACGCGGAGGACACAACAGCAATAGTCATGTCCAAGACGTATTCTAAAAATACAGAATGCACGGCATTTATCTTTTTAGTAAGTTGTACACTCTAAACATTTGTGGTAAACTGGCGTAACGTGTGAAGACATCTCGTCACGGCAAATCGCGTACGGCTGTTTAAACTGTCTAATCCTCCACTACAACTGCGATGTCCTTTACTCAAAATACACCAATTCGCAAAAAACCTCTAAGGCAGCGAATAGAGGCAGTTGTGCAATATAACTTATGCGAGCAAGAGTGCTCACTAGGTGGGCTTTGCGTACCACAAGCATGAGCAATGCAAAGAAAGAAAAACAGACATCTCAAAACACTTTCAATATAAGAACTCGCAACATGAGCTTGAATTTGACACCTTCTTTGCTGATTTTGTGCTAATAGCAGTGCGAACAATCTTGTTGATCGAAAAAGCATCAATTAAAAACCACATATGATTTTTTACTGTTAAGCAGCCGGAAGAATGTGACCCTCCATATGGTTCAAAGGTCATAACGGTTGCAAAAGCTGCATTACCGAGTTTTGCGAAAAAAAGACGCGGACGAAGTGAGCTTGATACTTAGCAGTTGGCTCTGCAACAAAGTCGAATAATTTGAATACGGAGTTCATTCGAATACGAATTCGAATAAACATTCGAATAAAACATTCGAATAAAATCTATTCGAAACCCCGTTTTTTGATTATTCGAGTTGTCGAATTTTATTCGAAATCCCGTTTGGTGATTATTCGAGTTTTTCGAAACCTTGTTTTTTGATTATTCCAGTTTCGAATTTTATTCGAAAATGGAAGAACTCCGAATATCGGATTTCGAATACGAATATATTCAAATGTTTTATTCGAATGATGGAATTTCTATTCGATTTGGACCCAAGTATACTGCGCATGTGTCTCGCAAAGCGGTCGCTTTCTCGCGCATTGCTCTCACTTAACGCGCCCTATGGTAACAGCCAGTCTTTTGGCGTGTTCGCCTTTAGAGCAAACAGGGTGCGGCTTATACACCTGCAAATAGGGTACATAACTTTGAGTCATTTGTAGCTGCTGCCTGACGAATTTGTGAGATTAGAACATGTACTTTTCCAAACTTCCTCCTTGCTTCTTTGTCCTTTTCAATTTGAGTCAATATATATTAGTTAGCAAAACACATTTCTACACCTTGCTATGCTAGAAAAGGTGCTGAGGAGTTACTTATTGTGGTGACGTAATTGTCGCGGGTGTGCAGACCCACATTAAATTGCGAATGACTCAACGATATGTTAGGATGGTTTTTGCAATCAAAGTGCATCGCAAAATATACTGTTCCTGCAAGGTAACCAAATGAAAGATCAAAGCAAACAGTCAAAACGTTAGCACGTTTTTATTCGCACTTTTAATGAGAGATATAGCGACAACTATTTACCGCTACAATGCATAATCGTGTAGTTTTCACTGGAAAAACTCGATATCTTACCAAATCTTTCTTAGCTTGTCATGTCAATGAAGTTTTTCTCTCTTTCAATATATCAACTTAGATTCTGCATTTTCCTAAATAATTAGGGGAATTTACTTAGATACTTAGATGGCCCGTCTTCACGTGGTGTGTATGCGTTTGGAAGTTTCAAATCTGCTCTACCAAACTACCATCATAATTTTCCCCGTTCATGGGAAGTCTGATAAAAGGACATGTCCATACATCAGCGTCGCGTGGCCATATCTCTCTTCAGAGTGGACGAATTCTGAATCCAAAGCCACCATTCGATTCAGCTCGGCGAGGAGAATCTTTTATTGTATTGGAAGTGGAAGTACGATGTCTTCGATATTCCGTTTCCAGTTTTTTCAATTTGTTCTGCGGAGGTCCTTTCGCGAATATGTGAAGCAACGCCTACCCAACATAGAAGACTTTACTGAGTACTAATCGATAATACTGTTCTTGTAGATTGATGTGCGCTAAAAAATAGGGTCAGACTTCTTTCCAGAGGAGATAAAAGCGTAGGTGAGTTTTGGAAAAATCACGTTTTTTCAAATTCTACTCGCCATAACTTGCTTGGGAATAAGTATATTTTGAATGCGAAAGCAGCGTCTTGCTCAGCTCATCAAGGCGAATCTTCTTATATACAGCATGTCCTTGATGTTTCGATTTCAGTATTTTTGAATCTTTCTGAGGATGTCTTTTCGCGAAAGTGTAAAGCAGCGAGCATTGTCCCGAGTACATTCCAGCAAGGATCTTTCGATAGCACTTTTTTCTGTAGATTATGATGTGCATAAAAAATTATGATGTGCTAAATAGTAGCTGCAGATTTTGGTGAATTGTGGAAAAATCTTGTCGTCCCAAATTCTACTCGCCATAGCCGCAGGATACGAAGC